TGGACAGGTGCGTGTCATGGGGGGGGGGGGCGACCATATATATATATATATACGTATACGTATATATTATATATGTATACATATACTTGTTTGTTTGTACACATGCATATACATATAGAGAACCATACATACATACAGTTACATACGTACATACATACGTACATACATACATGCATACGTACGTACGTACCGTACGTACGTACATACTGAGTTAAAGTACAAACATGTACAGACAAACAAACAAATCTGAATAGGTGCGCACACACACAATACATAAATTGCGTGAGGACTTGCAGTTCTGTAAGCTTAGCGCTCAGAATTTCTGAACAAGCTCGCATAGTCTTTATCCCACGCACACTCGCAACACCCCTTCGGAAACTGCAGGGCATGGCTCCTGTTGTTCGGGTGTCTGGTTCCGGGATGGAGAGTACCGAGCTTGGATGCTGCATCAAGCCCCTCAAAACGCTGTACACATGCTTCGAGTTTTGCCCAATCGCCACCCAAAACCCTACAAACGCTGAGACCTGATACCTAAACTCCAAACCCTAAGCCGCAGCAATGCGAATGATCGCATCAGGGCGCAGGGCTGTCTCGCACCAGTCGCCTTGGCAGGCTGAGCGGAGGTCAATTCAAGAGCTACTGTTGGTCGCTGCTGCACTTAGGCAGGTACCTCACAAACTCGATACTTTCTCTCGTAGATGCATGATGGATGCTCTCTGTGCCGTCGTGCCGAGTAGCTGCAAGCCCTCTGCATCAAAGGTAATCATGGCAACCAGTCGGCTGCTCCAGCGTGGTAGCTTCATGAAGTTTAACATCACGATGTCCTCAGCCAGGTCCCGTTTGCGTCGAGGTATTGCAAAATGCCGCTCCAAGCACACCTCGCGCCTTCATGAACTACCTCGGTGCCATCGTGCCTTTGATAGATGTTGTCGCCGTGATGGCAGTAGCCACTATTCGGGCTGATAGGCGTAAGGATGAGTAAGCAAGTGCATGCAGGGAGAAGTGTCGTTGTCGCTTATTCCCTAGAAGACTATGGTTGCTTATTCTAAGGTCTGGCTTGGCTGTTGCCATCAGCATCAACCGAACCACCAGTGTGGAACCATAACCCAATTTCAGTTTTGCCCAGCATCCATATAAGCTTGAGCACGTCGCTGGTTCCCTTAGCATGCAAGCATTGTGAAACGCAAATTGATGGCTCATGAACTCCAAAACATCTGTTGTCACCTGCCAACCTCAGCCCTAAATTACTGCAACTTCTCTTCCCGACTTCTAATGCCAGCTCTTTCATTCACCGCACTTTGCAGGTGTTGTACAATTCGAAACAGCCAATGCTTTGCAGCCAAGTTCTTAAGCATTACTTTGCCGTCCTACTGCAGTCTTTCTAGCTGTCAGTCTAATGATAAGTCAGAAAATCGTTAATGTTGCGCAGCTGGCGGATCCTCTGTGCAAAAGTCTGTCGACAGTACAAGCTGCAAGAATCAAAACACATGCGGCTCAAGCGACGGCCAAGGAGGAATGAAAGGAGGCTGTGCATCTCTTCTTCTCTGATGTTCATTGCCGAGGCTACCTGCGAACGGGCCGGAGCTCTGTGCTTTCCTCATCGTCCATAACGGCAGCTGGTTGCTGCCCCTTCACTTTTCCACAACTCAGCAGAAGCTAGAAAGAGTTCTCCAAGCAATTTCAACATGGGCCCTAACCTACTGCCTTGCACCATCTTGAAGCCTTCCTCGCTGGTTGGAACGACAAGAGCATAGTCACAAGACAACGATCCGAAGCCTGATTCGTAAACTCCACCAGCTCCTGAAATCAATCAGGTTTGGCGACGGCTTGCTGGATAGGTCGGGGATCCCGGCTTATCGCTCGGGGTCTTCAGCATTAGCGAAGCCTTTCTATGATTCTATGTGCCATGTTGTCGAATGACTGCCGTAACCGCACTACGAGCATCTTGGCCTCCTACAGCTCCTGGTGTGGAGCAGGGCATAGCCACATCCCTGAAGACACTGTGCCACAAGCATACACTGAAGCCAGCAGAACTATATACTAAGCTACTAAGTACTTGTTGCAATAACAACAATAGTCATACTCCTTATGAGCAAAAGCAAGAAGCACCCTCGTAGGAACACCAATAAGAACCTTCATGCTCTTTTTGCGGTAAACCACTTTCGTGGGCTCCATGAGGTTTGTTGCCATGAGGGCGGGGAGGCCACCAGAGACCAGTGCCGCCCAGGCTTTCTGAAACAGGCCAACGACCTCGAGTAATTCGGAACTCAAGAATGCCATCGGGGAAGTTTTTAAGAGGTTTCCAGGGCTTCAGAGGTGTTTACGGTGCTCCAAAACCCTCGACTAAAGTCACTCTTTGCTGTGTTTGGGCCTTAGGAGCGCCTGTCTAAGCAGGTCATCAACAAGGCTACAGCTACCCTCAAAGGGACTATAATGCTTGCAGGCATACTTCTAAACTTCCTACGAAGTTCCGGGATTCTCAAGTAGAGGTCTGAACGCAAAGCCGCTGCTGAAACTGGGAACTGTTGGGAAATGCTCTCAACGGCCACAAACACATTTTGGCACAAGCTGCGCCCGCGGACTCCATCGCTTTGATATCCAGGCCGTGCAGCTTCGTCAACAGCACAGAGAGGCCAAAGCCGGCAAGCACCAGGGAGTAAAGGATGCCAATAATCACCAAGTAGCCTATTCAGGCTGGAGACTGATATGTGCGACTGTAGAAATGTGTAACTTCTGCGAAACATGTAGACAGTGGGTAGCAGCTTACACTCAGGAACCTATTGCGACTAGTGCGCAAGCTGTTGGGTACCGTTGGCCAGAGAGGTGCAGGGCAATCGAGCTTTCGAACGATGTGCATTCTCAATGGTCGGATCTTCAGAACTACCCTGATGTGCTTGGAGCAGGATTCCTTGGCGGCTGTCCGAGTCACAGCCCTTGAGAATGTTGGGGTCAGCGGCAATTTTACGGAGCGCCCCGAAGATGTGCCGCTTGTTGAGAAACCTGCGCCGCACAGTCTTTCTTTTCTGCAAACCAAGACCCCGGCCCAAGAACGAAGAACGGGCGTGAGGGCAAACCCCTTTGCAACTCGAGCGGAATATCTGGTGGGAGATGGCTAAGCCCGAATATTACAAGCGAGCAAACAGAGCCCTGACCGGCGTGGTGACGATGGTTGTAGATGTTGTAGGAGTTGATGATGACGACATGAAGCGGTAAGGGCTGCGGTCAGGTGATGCATGCCGCCAGAGTCTTTTGCCACGTTGCTGTTGTGTGATTGGTGCTACTGTGGCCGGCATGGTCAGATGCAACGGTGGGGTTGAGTTAGATCCTGCTTTGGTGGGGCGGCTGCCCGAAGCTGTGATCCCCCTACGATCAGTTCTCCAATCTCTCTGCTCAGCATAATGGCCTGACAAATCGCATAGCAGAGAAGCCTGCCAATGTCTTGACCTCCAGGGTGCTGGGTTTCCACTGCTCCATCGGATCAGGTGGCGCCAATGTACAACATCCCGCCCTCGCGGTCATGATCCGCTTATATCTCACACTTTATGCTCTCCCAGAGGTACAAAGACCCATGCCGCAAAGCGTCTGTGCCCACACACTGGGAAGGGCTCGCGTGAATTCCACAGATACAGCTCAGAATCTCACAGGGCAGCTTGCCTCGGTGGAGAGATTAAGGGCCCGGGATGTCTTGCCTTCAAAGATGAAAGCCCCTGTTGGCCGTCTGCAGGATGCCCGTAAGCACGCAGCCTTTACAGCTACACCTTGTACCAAAGTCTTCGGAACGGAAATCGGCCGCGAAACCTAATGCTCGCCAAGTGACAGAGGTGTTCCAAGAAAATCCCGGCCTCCAGAACGCGAGCAGCACTCCTGAGGGCGATTCCGAAGCAACTACATCATGCGACGACGTGTGTTTGGGCAGAGTAAAAAACAATGAGGTTCAGGCTACTCGAGAAGGGAATGCCTACGCCACGAGGAAGGCAATTTGCATCTGCTAACCTGTCATTGCTGAGCATTCCCGAAACATGTCCTCCCTTATGGCCAAACTGAAGCCAAGGAGCCCCACAGTCAGTGGTAAATCCTCCAAACAAACTACCATCATGTTCCGCCAAAGGGCCTGGCAGGATCTGAACTTGACCTCTTTCTGCAATATCGTGAGGACATGCGCTTTGTACAGCAGCTTCCTAACCGAGTACCGGTTGAACTAAGATTACGACGCGCCTTGATGTTCACGGCCAGCCGGAGAGCGAACAGCAGAAAACTCAGGTACTTCATCTCTGTGACATGGTCCCGGATAAGAGCATGCTCCTTGGGGATGAGGGAGTCTACTTTCTACAACTGCAGCATAACTTCAACTACAAGTATGCATAGACTTTGGGCAAAGATGCATTCGATAGATACGAGGTGACAGCACCCTGCCCTCATCCCTAAACACCCCTAAACCCTAGCTCTTCAACATCCATCCTCAGCCCCATGCGTCGTAGGTGACACCGAGATCTTCCTTCAAGCGCACGGTGCCCTGCAACGTGTCCTGGCAAGACCACAAATGTTATTGGTATGCAACGGTCATAGTTTGCTGCTGTTTCGCAACACTATTACCACTATGAGTAGCACTACAAAGCCTACTGTCAGCACAAACACCTCATTGATGCTTGCATTGCTGCTGTTGTTGTTCTTGCTGCTGCTGCCACTGTAGTCGTTCTTCGAACTTGATATCGATACCCAGGAGGCCTTCTGCTCATGTCTGCTCAGAACGCCGGTGACGACGACTGTTGTTACTGCTGCTGTGCATTGCTTTCTGAGCGAAGAAGAACATCACACGCTCGTCTCTGCTCTTCATCCCGCCTGGGGCAGCAAAGTCTCTTGGCCGCTGCTGCGGCAACTGTCCACACCTGCTTGCGGGCTTCAGTTTCAGCATCAGGGTTTAGGACTTAGGGCCTCTCTTGTCAGAAGCAAGGCGGGTGCTCTCCACAGGCTTCAGCGCACTAGCTGCTTCAATACTCATTGAAGCCGTGCCGGTAAACCCCTGAACTTTAGATTCCCAAACCGCGATTGGCTTTAACGCCTGCAGCAAGACCCACTCCGCAGCAAAGCATCATGAACCTGAGCGTGTCCCACCCTAAAACTCTTCAGTTTGAGCGCGTTATCTGCTTGAGCCTTTGGGGCCCAGAAAAAGGAGTACCTGCCATCCTTTGACGAGCAGCATGCCAGACACTGCAAGGCAGGATAATACAACATACTATACTATACTAAACTATACCATAATATTTAATATAATACAGTATGTTGGCCATACTTTTGCTGGAAGGTGCTGGAAGGAATTCCGAGCGTTTGTCAAGCGTTCGACTAGAGCACGAGGCGACGATCCCTTGTTGGCATCAGTGTAGCACCCTCAGGGTTCAGGTTTCCTAAAGTATGAACATGGCCAGGCCACAGCAGCTGGACACTGAGCTCATCGGGCGTAAGCCTGCGGCAGCCAGGTCATTCTCTCGTCATGTCCTCTTTGCCCCGATATCGAACACAGAACAGACTCTGCCTGAAAAATGAGCTTGACGCGCCACAAGAATGTTGCTGAGTCGCGCGGACACGAGTGCGTGCGCGTGTGCGCGTCAAGAAGGCAGTGCTTTGATCCACAGGACTTCAGCTTTGGCCTGCGACATGCAAGGCTTGAATAGACAAGTTTAGGATGAGCGCATGCCGCATACCTCTCTGCCGAAACTCGGACTGCGAGTTTTGAAGCACGTCTGAGGAGATGTCTCTTGAAGAGCTCGCGCAACTGGGAGTTTCAGAATAGAAAGCACCCGAACCCGAACATAAACCCCAAATAGGAGCATTCCTATTATGGCTCTTGACTTTAAGACACCCTTTCTACAAGCATCAGACAAGAGTACAACTACCCCCCGCAAGTCCCCGAATGAATGGCCGGCAAAGGTGCCAGAAGAGGGCGGCGAATGGCGCGGCAAGCCCCGCGAGTGACAAGAGGTACACTGCCTAGGGGGTGCTGTGGGGCGTGGACGCAACAAGCCTGCCCTAGGGCTTCGGGATTGGGAAGCCTTCTGATTCGTTTACATTTTGATGCGTCACGGGAAACCCTGAACCACGGAGAAGGGGACCGATCCCCTCATTCCAGACCCGAAGGTGTTACACAGTTCCAGTCTCCGAGATATGGTGAAGAGAACATGAACTCTGTGTCTTCTCGAAGAAGTTTTTAGTGCTTGCGAGATGCTGTATCCCGCATGACCGGTGCGGGGGCGACTAGAGCCAAAACCCTACACTCGAATTCGCATCTGTGCAGGCATCCCCCGGTCTTTGCCGCAGCTTCAAAGCATGGCTATAGAACTTAGATGCGGCTCTGCAAATTCTGTCCAGCGGGGACCAGAGCGAGATAGAGCGAAGATATGATCCCGGAGTTCTTTGGCAACCATCGGAATGAAGGCAAGACGGAGGCATCGTCGTCGGGTTTAGCAGGGGCAAAGGTCTCCTGCAAGTTCACCTGACTCAACTGGCGGGCCGGTGCTGAAAGCTATTGGGGATCTAGCATCAGCCCTCGGAAAGACATGCTTCGAGTCGAACTCGATCGCCTCTCTTTTTTCGTAGCGTTGGTGCGCCTTGCGGAAAATCGCCGGCGCAGAAGCAGCTAAGAATCGCCGCTGTGTGCTACTGTGCTTTTGTGATGATGTTGCGGCTTTCTTCCGGACAAGTGTCCGCTCAGCTGTATGCTGCTGTGCTTTTGTGATGATGTTGCGGCTTTCTTCCGGACAAGTGTCTTCTCAGCTGTATGCTGCTGTGCTTTTGTGATGATGTTGCGGCTTTCTTCCGGACAAGTGTCTGCTCAGCTGTATGCTGCTGTGCTTTTGTGATGATGTTGTGGCTTTCTGCCGGACAAGTGTCTGCTCAGCCTCTCCAATTCCAACAGTCTTGGTAGCTGCCGATGTCTGGGCCATATGTCTGACTGCGGATCATTCCTCACGCTCCTCCTCCTTGACGTCTTCGTCCTTGAGCCTTGAGGCTTGCAATGCCAGTGCATGCAATTTTTTAAGGCCGGGCCAAATCCCCCCAGAACGCACTACAAGACTTGAGCACAAGCAAAAAACACTGCACTCTTTCGCACCAATGAAACACCGGTAGATGGCAAAGCCCTGCTCTACGTGATAGTCCCTGCAGCCAGGAAATGTGGGTATCTACAGAATCCAAACCCCTTCTTGCACTGACCAGTCTGGAAACCAAGCAACGGGCACTGAAATCTCACTCCAGGCATTTGCGGTTCTACTAGCTAACCCCCTATTCCTTCAAGTCGAACCCCGGGAAACCCAAGACCATGAATTCACCTCATGTGGATCCTGTAGCCTTCATGAAATTGAAAAAACCCTCTGGACAACCCGAAACATCACCTCTTCTTGTGAGGCGTTCTAGAAACCGATAACCCAACTATCAACTACATCACCTGATGCTTCAAGTAGCCCAGGGGGTCGCCATCGGCGCTTGTCCATAGAAACGATGTGCCAGTCGGAGGCCTTAGTGCCATGAACTCAGTAGGGTTGAGGCTTACGTTCGAGGGGTATGTTGTGATTTAGGGCTGTTTGGGGATGAGGGTTCGGGTATAGGGACAAGGTCCTTGACAAGGTTCAAGGACTCGCCGCAGCCGGGGACTCCCAAAGAGCAAATGCACTTAGGAATGTACCTTGCATGGAGGACCTATCTTTCCAAAGCGGACGAAGCATCTAGACTCTGAATGTGTCGGCAGCTCTCGAAATACTGTAAGTTTACAACACTGACAAAGATCTTGATCTTAAGCGGGTCCCTCATTTTCCGTACAATCCTTGTGTGCCTCATTGCCGTCTTCGTCAGGAAGATGGCGCTTGAAGGTCCACCTCGCTTGGACCAGAGGCTGCATACATGCGCAACTTCTACCAAGGGGGGCCAGAACTTTTCGAGGATAGCATATGAGCGCAGGATCCATGTGCTCCGGCTGCCAAGTCACTTGTGCAGCCTCCGCACCTGCGTTCCAGCTCTCGGTGAGATCGCTTCCGGACATGCTGGAGGACTCTGCGAAGCCCAAGCCCTCGACTCCAAACCAGACACATGTTAAACCGCAAGCTTAGACTTGCGGATGTCTCAAGAAGGGACGTTAGGATGGCGAGGGTCTGGTCATCGCAAGGAAGCACAAAAGGAGACAAGCTTCAGCAAAATCATCGTCGAAAAATCAAAACCTCATTGCCCGCGGTGGCCTCCCACCAAACACTCGGATCCTGCCCAGGATTCACGAGGGTCGGAAAGGAAGCTTAGCTTCAGAACAGTACCAACTCCACCTGCTGCCATGAGCTTCCGGCTCTAACTTGAGAAACAAATTATTACTTTGTTGACGCGCCTTCTGCAAAGTGTACTTCCTTGGATTGCACAATGCATCCGAAACGATGCATGACCCATGGACAAGCGGCTCCTTTTCGTGATCATGCTCCAACAAGATATCTGTTTGTTGACGTTGATATCCCGAGTGGAAGCATCAAGTGCCAAATTGTATGGACGTACGACTCGTCGTTGTTCTGAAGACGACAAGCCGACCCTGAATCTGCCAGCCGAGGCTGCCCGTCCAATTCAAACTGAACTCAATCCAAAGGGGCTCAGTGACACGGAGCAATGGTGTCACCGACACAGCCTCACCACCGAGCTCCTCGGCCTCTTCGCATTAGTCTTGTGTTGCAGCAAGATGAATGGGTCAGCATATTCCACTGTAGATGCGGATCTATGATTACTCTAGCGGAAGGCTCAGGGTGCGAGATGCCACGGACAACTTCGTGCAATCTGCATTGGCTTCTCATGCTGGCCAAAAGCGGAAATCTCAGCCGATCTAAGTACATGCAAACGAACGTGAGCGTGGGACCTATTCCGTCCTTTGCAGTACTGAACGGCTGTGAAGTCTGTGGGAAGCCCCGGCAGTTCAGCTTCTGCGAACGCAGAGCATGAGACAAAAAGAACAACAACAACAACGCTGAATCACATAACAAAACGAAGCGGCTTAGCACCTGGACCATTGCATGGAATATGCCAAGCTGGAACACTTCCCTCAGCTCGTAGTCCTCAGATTCACACAGCAGCCGCTGCACGTCAGGACATGTCAACAAACAAATCATCGCTGTCCAGTAGGAGGCATGCTGTTCACACAAGCACAGACCATTGGCATCCGCAAAGGCTTCAATAGAGAGCTTCCAGTTGCTCTTCTCATGGTGCAATCATGAGCTGCAGTATGCTGACGTGATGCTAGGCCTTTCGACAGCTTGCCGTGGGTCTGGCGCAACTCCTCTTTGGAGCTTTAGGTGTGCTTCCGGGGTTGCAGGCGGCATACAACAACCTGCTGGACATGAGGTTTCGGGGTAGGCAGGGGCACGCTCCTGTTTTGCACATGGAAGCAGCACTGCATTCTTCACGGGCAAATGTGCAAAGGAAAGCCTCCACGAGGCCGTCCGCCATCACGCGGCGCAAAGAAACAAAGTCCCCTTGATCCAAGAAACCTGGGACGTCAAAGCGTGATTGCTCCTACTTTAACTGGACCTCATGCTGGCATTGTAGAACGCCCACATACAGTGACAACCAAGAGCTACTACCACCACTGTTGCTGCTGCTGCTGCTGCTGCTGCTCGTTGTTCACTTCTGCAGCAGTTGTAGGAGGAGGAGTAGCAGGTAGTATTGATACCAGTGCAGTAGTACTAGAACTAGAAGTAGTGCTGCAAGTAGTAGTCTTTGTAGCAGCAGTAATCATCTAGTCCCCCCTTTGGCACGCCAATGGCAGCACTGCGGAGTAACGACTCGGCAGCTACTAAAGCGACTGCGAAGTGATGGCTTCAGGATGTCAGGAACAGCACACCACAGCCCGTCCCAGTAGTAGTAGTAGTCGTCGTCGTAGTAGAAGTAGAAGTAGAAGTAGAAGTAGAAGTAGAAGTAGTAGTAGTAGAAGAAGTAGCAGTAGAAGTAGAAGTAGAAGAAATAGTAGCAGTAGTAGCAGAAGTAGCAGTAGTAGTAGTAGTAGTAGTAGTAGTAGGAGGAGTAGTAGTAGGAGTAGTAGCAGTAGCAGTAGCAGTAGCAGTAGCAGTAGCAGTAGCAGTAGCAGTAGCAGTAGTAGTAGTAGTAGTAGTAGTAGTAGTATTAAGTAGTATTAAGTAGTAGTAAGTAGTAAGTAGTAAGTAGTAAGTAGTAAGTAGTAGGTAGTAAGTAGCAAGTAGTAGTAAGTAGTAGTAAAAGTAGTAGTAGTAGTGGTGGTAGTAGTAGTAGTAGTAGTCGTCGTCGTCGTCGTCGTAGTAGCCGTCGAAGTAGTGGTACAGTTGTAGTGGCAGTAGTACTAGGAGTCCCTCGGAACGTGATGCATGCAGGCGCAGCGCCCCGGCGCGGTTTGCAGCCGGCCAGCACCATTGAAGCGCTAACCATTGGCTGCAGACCGGACCGGAGGAGTTACTCCCCGCAACAAAAACACACCTTCCAATCAACAAGTGAGCATGCATGCAATTCCACTGGTAACAGTGGAACTGGCATCATCAAGGAATCGACAGTAGGGCCAATAGCTAGGTCAGTCACTCGCAAAGCGAGGAAAGTTTCACCAAAACAAGAGCCCTTCGCGCTGCGTGTGAATGAAATGATGTTGTTGCTGTTGCTGCTGCTGTTGCTGCGGCCGTTGCTGTTGCCGATGCCTCTGCTGGTGTTGTTGTTTTTGTTGTTGTCACAATCGTGCCGGAAGCTGACTGCAGTCGACGTTTGAAAAGTGTCACTCACCGCCATGCATGCCAGGACCAGGCAGGCCCAGGCAGGGCAGGGCCAGGCAGGCCAGGGCCTGAGCCCAGTACGTTACATGTACGGTTTCCATCCACAAACACAGCCAGACCGTGGTCCTGCTGCGTGGAGATGCTCCGAACCTCTCATGTGCTCGTTGGTCCTTATGGATACGAGGCAGCCGCAGTGGGCAATCCCGCTCGGTGGAGATGGGTATGGCTCATGTGCTTGTCGGCTCAAAGTGGTACGAGGCAGCACAGCGTGGATCGGTCATGAGCGGAAGTAGCTGAGCAAGCTTACTTGTTCAGACATGTTTCGGCCAGTTTCACGTGCAGTGGGTGCTTGGTGAGGAAATACGCCCACCATAAACGGAGCCCGCTCGCGCAGCGTTCAATTGCAAACTGTTGTTCCAGAATTTAACACATACTACTAGTAGCAATGCTACCACACCCACGAGGACGAGGTGGGCGCAATCACTACTCGTACTACTCCTGTTTCTGCTATCAGCGGACTGCGAAAAAACCGCCACCGGTGCGACTTTTGCTGGAGGTTCTGCAAGAAGTTCTGCAAGATGTGTCCATACTAATTTTACTAATGCCGCTGAACCGCTATCAGACTCACACGGATGCCATATATAAGCGGCGGATGAGCACTGGCACCTGCCAGCACTGCCTCGTCGGCTGTCGGTCGTCGTCATTGCAAGTCATATTGCAAGTAGAAGTGGTAAGTGCTAGGAGGACTGCTTCTAGTGCCTATGCTGTGCGACCTGGTCGTAGTCAGGCATTCTTGGCGCTGCTGCGAGATCCAACATGACTTGGAGTCTGCGGCCGGCATGGCTCTAGTGCCACTTTCCAGAGCGCCCTCTTGTAGCTGGTCGTAAATACTGTTGTTTGAAAAGCCTTTCGCAAAAAGAACCCATCTGTCTTCATTAAGTCCAGCAGCAGTTGACTTGCTTGTACGCCTCGGAAGCCCCCGCCCGAAAGTCACGCGCACACCTTGGATGTATCAAGCCCGTTGTGCTGGGCAGCATTCTTGTTTCACATCAAGAAATCCGCGCGGTGGCCACATACAACTGCGCTGCACTTCTCGAAGTTTCTAGAGAAGCAGAGATCCTAAAAACCCTGGCCCTGGCGGCCGTAGGCCCTTTGCAGGCGAGACTCCAAGTGCCCGGATACACGACCTTCATGGAATTTGTTACTTATCACTGATCGTGACCAAGCACATTTAGAGAAGGGCGCCCCGTCATATGCGAATCTGCAGGCAAGATTTGTTGAAACTCAAGCAGCAAAGTCGGGCTTCTAAGTTTGGAGTATATGCCCTTGTTTTCCTACAAGATTTCATCGTTGCCGATCTTCTCGGCTAAGTGTTGTGCTGTTGGAAGCCAAACAAGGCACAGGAACTTGAAAGAGAACACAACATCTTCCAGCTGGCATCGACTCTCCTCATGACACCCTGTCAGGCAAGATGTGTAGCAACATGCGTGGGCAGCTCCCTTCAGAAGTTGAGTTAGTATTTCGATTCATGCTGTCATCGCTTCTGCGATTTAGGGCTTGCTGCCAAACTACATTCAGACACCCACTGTGGGTGCCGGACTTCTCATGTCACTTCCATGGCCTCCATCGTGCGCAGCTTGACAGAGCTGATGACATGGCGCACGTTGATCGTCTCGGATCAGGGCCGCCACTAGGCATCTTAGCGGTCTTAGCATCAAAAACGGAGCCTGCACAAGCCCTTTTGCTGCTGCTCTCCGAAGGTAGAAGTTTGTAAATCACTGCGGCGGGGTTCCGTAGAGTGTAGAATTAGCCAGAAGTCCTTGACAAGATTGGGATAACGGTATGAAGCTGGACAACAGCCTTCAAAAGGTACTGAAGCCTGACACATTCCAGACATACTAGCAAACGAAGCACCATGTTGCCATCGTGAACGGAACTGATCTTGAACATGTCACTGCGCATCAGGACCAATGAGACCAATGAACGCGACCCTGTTTCCCGCAGGTCATGGTGGACAAAAACACAATCAAAACGCAACACGGTTGACGACACAAGCAGCAACTCAAGAGAGCATCAACCATTCCTGATGCTAAATGTTTTGAACACATCATCGCAAAAGTCATAGTCTCACGTCTCGCGGCTTCTTCTCGTTCCGTCAAGGTGCTAGAAGGTCCAAAGTACCCGCCAAACTTCGCTGCAAGACCTCCGGAGACTTGAGCAGACTGTTCGGCTCAAGGGTGGTTCCCATGAGGATTGTTGAAAGCTTCGAATCCAGGCCTTATGCTCGTGTCCAAACCCATCAACTTCCAACTCCTACATGCTCACAAGGCTGTTGCCATCTCCCGCGGCACACGCGGCTCTCCGCCGCTGGCGAAGTGGCGCGAGGGCAGCCGCTGCCATCGTGGATGCGGACGTAGCCGCAGCATGGCTTTCAGCTTTCTGGGTTGCGGCCCAAGGCTCCAAAGACATAGCTTCTGCTAAATTTGGGGCCCCTCACTTGCGGGGCTTGTTTTCGGTTTCTTAGTGTCTTCACTGACAGCACACAGCACAGCCTTGCAATAAAGTTTCCAGGGCTCGGAATGCTGTTCGGGCTTAAAGGTTCAGGAGCTCAGAGGTTTAGGAGCTGAGGGTTTTGGGTGCTCTCAGAGTTGCTTGGTGTTTGGGTCCGGGGCCAATGAAGCTTGGGTGTAGGATGCAGGTTTGCTTCTACTAAGGGTTTGGGGCTAGTTGTTTCCATTGTTTCCTGAAGCTCCCACCAGTAAATCCATGTCGGCTTGGCATTTTGGCTTGATCCAGACTGGCTTGGGGTAGGGTTGCCTTTCTCTTTTCGGGTCAGCACCGCGCGCAGAACACTGCGATCAAACATGTGGGGTAGCGCGGCTCTCTCACTCTGTCTCTCTCCTTCTCCTTGTCCCTCGACTGAAACGCCAACCACGCTCGAACGTCTTGTCCACGGAAGCAGCTTTGTGGGGCTGATCTGTCCTGAATGCAGGGGCAAGTCAAAAGCATAGCTAAGAACACCTAATAAATATGATGTTTACACTCCCTCTCTCCTATCGCTTTTCCCTCCGTTCGTCCACTCCCCCAGCAAATCAAAAGACTGAATGGAAGAAGAGAAGAAGTGGTCGTGATAATGCTTCCAAAACAGGGGTGTCTTCCCGTGGTCCAATTGTTGTTCGGCTTCAGGGTTGGAGGCTTAAACTTCGGAAAACCAAGTGCTTCAGCTTTCTTTCCTGAAGCCAAGCTCTTGCAACCAAGTTGGTTCTTGAACCAATGCAGCCGGAAACGGCCTGCAAGCTTGACGGATTCTGTCCATCAACAAATGCACTTAGCCAAACATCAGCTGCCAGTCATTTGTCCTGACTCCTCCTTCCCATGCTTTCGACTCGCCATGCAGCTTTGAAATTCAGCAACCTTAGCTAGGTTTCCAGCACAGGCTACTTGCCGCTGAGACAGCAATGAAGCCCACTTCCAGCTACCAAAATCTGTCTAGCAAACCTGCTGCGACGGAAAAAAGATATAAACATGCATATATACATAATGAACACTGTCCACCAATACGAAGACAATGATAAATGAATAAATAAACAAATAAAAATAGAAATAATGATATATATATATACACATGTGTATACATACACATATTATGCTCTTCTGAACAAAAAGCTGCAGGCCTCTTCTGCCTTCAGAACTGAAAACCGCAAGCAAATGTCTTCAGACTGCCGATTCCGAAATTTTTTAAGTGCCACTGCCAGCAGTGCTTACACCAAAGATATCCATGTGAAACCTTGCATGGCAACCCTCACCGCCTGCTCATCGCTACACCAGCACAGGACAACGGTACGCGAACACTTCGAAACGACACAGAAGCACACATGCACATGGGCATCAACACACTCTAGCATGGAACAACCCGCAAGAAAGATCTGCTTTGACTGCCGGGCAACGCAAGCAATTCTGGTGTTGACTTCCATTGGAAGCCCTTTTCACAAGCATCTGCGGCACCACTGTAGGTATACCTTGACAGAAAACACAGGGAAACTCGGGGGTTGGATCGTAGGCGTTGCATGAGATGAAGCGTGTATACTGGAACAGCCATGGTGGCACTTCTGGCGGCCTGCCGTCCTTGCATGGCTACTTTGCAAGGAAACACTGCCGGGATGCTCGTTTGGCTTGATGCTGCGTTCTGCCATGCTTGCATAGATTGAAATCGCCAAAGTCCACGCGGCAATTCTGGCGCAAGCCGTGATAGCGGCACTGCATGCCACCAAATCAGCATCAACAGACATGCTGACCTGATCCGTGGATCCCACAATGCAACAATCTGTTCGTGCTCCTTGTGTAATGAAAGAAACAAAATCTACTGAATCTACTGATGAGTCCAGGCACCATCGCTTTGAACAAGCAAACTGCGGTGCATCGCTGGGAGGCTCTCTCACAAGCACTGACCAAGCTACTGCATGTGAACTCGTTCGGGGAAACGGTGCAAAGGAGCATATGGTCCAGCAGTGTCAGTGCCGCGGACCACTGCTCTGCATTTTCACCTTGGTCTGGCACCCGTACAAAGGCTCCACCTAGACATGGAGCTGTCATGAGGAGAACCAAATCTAGAGCGGGTGACAACCGAGCTGAGCACAGGCCTTGATTGCACTGGTGAAGCAAACCACATCCGGGTCCAAGGCCGGATCTCTCATTGCCCATAGGAAATGCAAAGCAATCTGCCATGTATTTGCGCCTTCGCAACATCTGATGGCCCCGCTGTACGTGAACCGGTTGGGAGCGACTTGGCTTTGTGCCATGCCATCTATTGTGGATAATGCCCGTTCCCAGCGCCTCGCGATGCTACACGCGCTGATGAAGCTGCTGTAGCTGACGACATCGGGTAAGATTTGTCGTGGGATGAGTTGGCTGAGGATGTCAAGCGCAAGAAGCCAGGAGCTGCATTGCGCACAAGCAACCAGCACACTGTTGTAGCCGTAAAGATTAGGGGTTATCCGTGAAGTTCCCATGAAGCTCAACAAGGCGAGGGCAGCAGACCACTCCTCCTGTTTGGAGCATGCGCCTGCAACGCTGCAATAGCAAACCACGTCCGGGAAGAAACGGTCCTGAGGCATCGTTGCCAAAATATTCAATGCGGCTGGCCAAGAGCTCGCACGTTCGTAGGATAAAATTTCCGACCTGCGGCTTACAAATGCTTCAGCCCAGTCGTCAGGTGTCATCGCATCTCACATGGCCAGCCGTTGCCAGAAGCTGATCGCCGCCTCTAGCGTATATTAAACGTGCATCTTGCCCACTGGCTCCTTGCTCAAACGGCAGCTGCAAAGAAGCTAGGCACGCAGCGGCTCCATGGCGGGCTGCTTCGCCAAGCTATCTGTGGCGACTGCCGGCACGGCTGGGGCACACCAAAACTGCGGTAAGCAAAACCACTATCACGCCAAAACGTTTCTGAACGGTTCTCAAGAAGCCCAGCACGTGCCCACTGCATGCTACATGTGAGCTCGTACGGTAAACAGAACGCAAGTTAGTGGAAGCTCACGGCACGGGCTTTTCGAACCGATTTTAAAGCTTGGACTTCGCCGACGATTGGACGCGCACGACAACCTGCCAGCACGCGCACGGATGAAGCAGTGTCGTGTGGGGTCCAATCCAAGGCAAAATTCACCGCAAGGCTGCAAAGCAAAACGATCCACGCCTTGCCCGTATTGCCTCCTTCGAAGAGGGCGCGAAAAGCACTGCCAAATGACTCCAACCCATCGAAGACAGTCCTTGTCTGACTACTTCTGCCAGCTCTGCTAGTATCTCTGTTTGTAACGCAGCAAATCGCAGGATTGCTGTCTACATCCTACGAAAGGTCTGGTAAACTAGACTCAGTAACTAAACGATTTAACGATCTCCTGCCTCCGAGATGCTCTTCCACTTTCACCTTGCCTTCGTCGACCCACTTGGCCATGTCTTGTAAGAAGTTGCCACGCTCACCCGAAAGCCAAGGGAAACACTGAAAGCCTTCAACCCGTTGCGAGGTGTAGATCATGTTGGATATGTATATCTTGTTCGGGGTCATCTTGGGCTTGTTGTAATCCGATATGACACCGCAAACTGCCACACGCCCGTTCGGCCGCAAGCACTTCATGGCTGCTTCAAAGTGCATTCCGCCAACATTCTCGAAATACATGTCGATGCCGGAGGGGGCGAGCTTAGCCAATGCCGTGATCAAGTCCCTCGTTGATTTGCAAGCCTGCCAGAAGCGCACAAATAACTTACCAGCAAGCTACCTAAGCTCATGCTTTTGCACTTACACCTGCACGTGGATTGGGGAGGGTCGGGAGGACGTCCTTTGCAAAAGTATTACGCCCCGCGAAGGCCTTGTAGTCAAGGCAATAGTCAAAGCCGAAGCGCTCAGTGACCAGTTTGCACTTTTCGGGACCCCCCGCCGAACCAATGACGGTGCAACCGAACACATGCTTGGCAATCATGCCAACCATGGAGCCAACAGCTCCTCCAAAGGCATAAAAGACGCGATCAAATCGTGCAGGGGGTCCGAAGCTCCGGGTTCGATGGCAAAGCAAGAACCTACAGTGTAAAGCAGCACGCCTGCAGCGCCACTCACCCAAATAACTTCGCCGCTCTTTGGGCGCAAAATGTCTGTCAATCCCCCATACGCCGTAGACCTCAGCGACAACAAGGGCTAAACTACTCATGCAATACTTGTTGCAAAACTGGCAGTCCCTGCATGTCTGGAGCCCACAGTAGCTTCATCAATCAATATCCCGGCCCAGAGCCGAATGAGAGAGAACCACATGAACGCAAGCAAAGCTGCCCAGGCATGCCCAGCGCTCCGATGCCCAAGCTGATGTTCTCCTGAAGGTCCAAACTTGAAACCACGCACATGCCCCACAACACCGGTGCAGGGTCCTCGCTCACAAGGCCGGTCAAGCGCCGGAACATGCGAAGCCTCGATGCTGGTACTGCTTGGATGTCAATGTAAGGTAGTTCGGCACCGAAAAGGTCCCCAACTTTCCATTCCGGCACGTTCGTCTCTAGAACTTTCCCGGCCACCAAGCCGAGCATCGGCGCGTCGGCTTTGTAATCTCCATCCGATCGAATGCGGTACCGCATGTACGGATCTGCACTGACGACTAGGAGCTGCACCAGGATGCCGTCACCCAGCTGTGGACGTGGATATTGTCGCATTTCGAAATGTTCCGGGCCTGGCACCCCTTCATTCAGATTGGTCCGGAGGATGAGAGCACTTGCCATCAAGGGCACCGCACCAGCTGATAGGCAATCAGCCCCGGATTGAACCAAATTGCTGGTGACCGACTTCGGATATCACATGGAATGCGCACCTGCACTGGAACTCATACAATACAACTGCACATACAGGCATGTCAACTTTGGCAGTGCACGAGGCACGGCCATTGGATGTTGCGGATTCCTATGTTGCTCCCTACATGTCGGAACAAAAAACCGCATTTCTTTGTGAGTGTCCTTCTTTCGTCGCGGATTGTTATTGTGCCTGCACGGCTGTGTGGGTTTTATGTAGTTCGTTTGCGACACTACATGTCGGGAGTGCAGTCCCGGCTTGGGTTGGTCTAGATGTTCAAGTCGAAAGGTGGTAAATCTTTTAAAGGGCAAGCCCAACATGCAGCTAATTATCATGCCGGCGCTACGAGATTCCATGGGCAGGAGACCAGTTGTGGCGGCAGCAGAAGATGGATTTGCGAGCAACCGCCACCCAAAACAAACCCCAAGCGGTCCACTATGCGAGAAATCGCCGCATCGGCGCCACATGTGCTGCGTGCGCGGTTTCATATTGGAGAGGTCCCAAGTGTGCATGGAGCCTGTGGTGTGTGCGCAGCGCGACACGGTTTCACCAACGCGCGACATGAAGAGCACAAACCACAAAACTGAAAGTTACAAAAACAAGAAAGAAGGTCACTCAAACACCGGTTCCCAAGCACAACACGACTGGCGGGCAATGTTATGCAAATGCTAGCTCAAGGTAGGTCTTAAGGTTTGCTGCAGCCGGTGAACCCCGTTTCCCTGCAAACACAACAGCCCCTTCGAGCGGAAAAAACTTCCACCACGAGGGCATTAGAGGTGCGGCATGCTGCCCTACGACCCCCTAATATCCAACGTGCACGCGGCGGAGGCGCACGGAACGCAGAATTCGGGCAGAAAACCCATTATGCCATATCATGCCCTAGAATCAAGGGGCCCGGCGTGGCAGGCACCGGATCAATGACAACGTAGGAGCAATGCGCTGGATGAGGGGCGATACCGTCACCCGCGAAAGTCGGTGCAGTGTCTTTGGGTTACACCGTTCTAAGCAGACGCCGCGCATCCGGTAAGCCAGAAAAATCAGTGCAAACATAGGCAAACCCCCTAGGACGCAAGGGTCAGAGTAAGCGAAAGAAAACTTGTGTGAATCACCAGTGGACGCCGTCGAATAAGGTGGCCAATTAGAACAACAACCACATGGAAATCACTATACGCCGCGCATGAGACTCGGCATGGCATTCAATTTGTGCATCTGAAAATATGCCACTTCATGTTTGACTTACTCTTCTCTCCTCAAAGACGCCGTAGGTCAACTAGCATGGGAAGTACAGCAAAATCATGCACTTACTAGGCGTTTAACATTGCAGGCACGACTTATCGGCAAGCTTCCCCGCATGCTCTGCAGCACATTCACGAAAGCGGGTACGAATTTCACTATTGCCTGTAAAATGCTTCCCCGCTCTTATTTACTGCGCCACAAGAAGAAGCAGCCCACTTTCCGGAACCTTAAGACATCGAATCCCCTCTTGGACGCCAATCGCACTGACTTTAGCTAAAGTGAATCCCCAGTTAGACGCTTGATTTTATTGCAACGCACCGACTTTCCCTGTCGACAGCAACATGCTGACAACATTATGTGCGCGGTTTACCTGGTGCTGGCAGCCTCGCAAGCAACAAACAGCGCCCCCTCCTTAAGGGGGTGGGTGGGGAGGGGATCGGAAATAGGTGGGCCACCTATTCGGGTATTTTTGTGGGTTGGGGGGTCGGACCACCCTCCCCTAGGTCGTACAAGTAGCGACAGGATTTCGAAGATCAGTGTGCAGCTGACACATTGAACCCTTCATTTCCCACCTTTTTTTTTTTTCCGACTGGTCCGCCTGTGCGT